ATTATTCAAAAATTCTTTTTCGTTTCTGAGATATATCCGAAGGACATATTTAGGGGCCGGCCCTTCAACTCCCTAATGGGACGTTTAGCAAAAATCAAAAGGTTGCATATTGTTTAGAAGATTATTTTGAATAACTTTTGTTCAATATTGCTTATCAAAATATTTCCCACTTTTGAGATATAAAGCGTCAAAGATTTAGCATTCTGGCCCCTTATGGCCCCTAATTATATAAATATGATGTTAATATCATAATATAAAGTTGTGAATTGTTGAGATAAACATTTTTGCTTCAGTAATGCAATAGAAAATATTGATCGTTAAAGAGTTATTGTTCAGAGACTTTTGGCCCCTCTCAGCCCCCATTTTGAGGGGCAAGCCCCTTTTTCTTCATATCACTTTAACGCTCTCATGATTTTAACAATTTTTGTTCAACAACTACTCAGAAATTTCTCTTTCTTTCTGAGATATTTGCAAAGGAAGTATTTAGGGGCCGGCCCTTCAACTCCTTAATGGGGACGTTTAGCATAATATGAAAGGTTGCATATTGTTTAGAACATTATTTTGAACATCTTTTGTTCAATATTGCTTATCAAAATATTTCCCACTTTTGAGATTTAAGGCGTCAAAGATTTAGCATTCTGGCCCCTTATGGCCCCTAATTATATAACATATGATGTGAATATCATAATACATAATTGTAAATTGTTGAGATAAACATTTTTGCTTCAGTAATGCAATAGAAAATATTGATCGTTAAAGAGTTATTGTTCAGAGACTTTCGGCCCCTCTCAGCCCCTATGTTGAGGGGCCAGCCCCTTTTTCTTCATATCACTTTAACGCTCTCATGATTTTGAATACTTTTTGTTCAACAACTACTCAGAAATTTTTCTTCGTTTCTGAGATATTTGCAAAGGAAGTATTTAGGGGCCAGCCCTTCAACTCCTTAATGGGGACGTTTAGCAAAAAATGATAGGTTGCATATTGTTAAGAACTTTATTTTGAACATCTTTTGTTCAATATTGCTTATCAAAATATTTCATAGTTTTAAGATATAAAGCGTCAAAGATTTGGCATTCTGGCCCCTTATGGCCCCTAATTATGTAACATTTGATGTAAATATCATAATATATAGTTGTAAAGTGTTGAGATAAACATTTTTGCTTCAGTAATGCATTACAAAATATTGATCGTTAAAGAGTAATTGATCAAAGACTTTCGGCCCCTCTCAGCCCCTATTTTGAGGGTCCAGCCCCTTTTTCTTCACATCATTTTAAAGCTCTCATGATTTTGAACACTTTTTGTTCAACAATTAGGCAGAAATTCTTTTTCGTTTCTGAGATATTTGCAAAAGAAGTATTTAGGGGCCGATCCTTCAACTCCTTAATGGGGACGTTTAGCAAAAAATGAAAGGTTGCATATTGTTTAGAACATTATTTTGAACATCTTTTGTTCAATATTGCTTATCAAAATATTTCATAGTTTTAAGATATAAAGCGTCAAAGATTTGGCATTCTGGCCCCTTATGGCCCCTAATTATGTAACATATGACATAAATATTATAATAAATAGTTGTAAATTGTTAAGATAAACATTTTTGCTTCAGTAATGTATACCAAAATATTGATTCTTAAAGAGTTATTGATTTAATACTTTTTGCCCCTCTCGGCCCCTAACATGACAAGTCAGCCCTTTTTTCTTGATATCATATTAAAGATCTTGTCATTCCGCACAAATATTGTTCAGTATGTTTTAACAAAATAATTATACTTTAGAAGATATGATACAAAATGTCTCAAAAATTCACTTATGTTTCGTGTCCTAAATTTCGACCCCTACCGAGCTTCCATACTAGGCACTTCCGGAAAATATCCAAACCCAGGTGCAAAATGGCAACATGTCCTCTATCATCATTGAAAATTTCAGCGCTCTAGCTTAAGCCGTTTTTGAGTTCCATCGCAGACAAGGAGGTCCTCTAAATTTTGATAAAAGGGCGATAACTTCCGACCGGAAGTTAATATCCCTTAACGGAATTGCCGGAATTAACTTCAGATGTCAACGCATCTACCATGAAAATTTGAATGAAATTGAACAAGCCATCTCCGAGAAATCGTCTGCACAAAATTTGTAAGAAGAAAAAAGAATAAAAATAATAATAACTAGATGCGATCTCGTTGCGAGCAACGAGTGGGTCTTCCGTCCGATTTTTGATAAGATGAGATAAGAATTTGACTGAGATTTTCGTTCAAATATAATGATATAAATAAATTGTCAAGACGAACAATTTTGCTTTTTTAATGTTTAACAAAATTTAGATCATTGAAGGGTTATAGATTAAAGATTTTCGGTCTTCTGGGCCCCTAATGTGAGAGGTCAGCCCCTTTTTCTTGAGATCATCTTAAAGCTCTCATGATTTTGAACACTTTTTGTTCAACAACTATTCAGAAATTCTTTTTTGTTTTCGGGATATATGCAAAAGGAATATTAAGGACCGGTCCTTCGAGTCCTAAATGGGGACGTCTAGCAAAAATTGAAAGAATACATATTGTTCAGAATATTACTTTAAACGTCTTTTGTTCAATGCTGTTTATCAAAATATTCTTCCTTTTTGAGATATATTGCGCCTAAGATTATGCAATCTGGCCCCTAAAGACCCCTTATTGCGTAGCATATGATATCAACATCGTGTTATTTAGACAAAAAGTGTGAAGATGAACTATTTCGCTTCAGTAATATATTACAAAATATTGATCATTAAAGAGTAATTGATTGTATACTTTCGGCCCCTCTCGGCCCTTAATTTCAGGGGTCAGACCCTTTTCCTTGATATCGCCTTTAACCGCTCATGATTTTGAACACTTTTTGTTCAACAACTAGTCAAAAATTCTTTTTCTTTCCGAGATATATGCGAAGGATATATTTAGGGGCCGGCCCTTCAACTCCATAATGGGGACATTTAGCAAAAATCAATAGATTGCATATTGTTTAGAACATTATTTTGAACATCTTTTGTTCAATATTGCTTATCAAAATATTTCCCACTTTTGAGATATCAAACGTCAAAGATTTAGCATTCTGGCCCCTTATGGACCCTAATTATGTAACATATGACGTGAATATCATATTATATAGTTGTAAATTGTTGAGATAAACATTTTTGCTTCAGTAATGCATTATAAAATATTGATCGTTAAAGAGTTATTGTTCAAAGACTTTCGGCCCCTCTCAGCCCCGATTTTGAGGGACCAGCACCTTTTTCTTCATATCACTTTAAAGCTCTCATGATTTTGAACACTTTTGTTCAACAACTACTCAGAAATTCTTTTTCGTTTCTGAGAAATTTGCAAAAGAAGTATTTAGGGGCCGGTCCCTCAACTCCTTAATGGGGACGTTTAGCAAAAAATGAAAGGTTGCATATTGTTCAAAACATTATTTTGAACATCTTTTGTTCAATATTGCTTATCAAAATATTTCCCACTTTTGAGATATAAAGCGTCAAAGATTTAGCATTCTGGCCCCTTATGGACCCTAATTATGTAACATATGATGTGAATATTGTAATATATAGTTGTAAATTGTTGAGATAAACATTTTTGCTTCAGTAATGCATCACAAAATATTGATCGTTAAAGAGTTATTGTTCAAAGACTTTCGGCCCCTTTCAGACCCTATTATGAAGGGCCAGTCCCTATTTCTTCATATCACTTTAAAGCTCTCATGATTTTGAACATTTTTGTTCAACAACTAGTCAAAAATCCTTTTTCGTTTCTGAGATATTTGCAAAAGAAATATTTAGGGGCCGGTCCCTCAACTCCTTAATGGGGACGTTTAGCAAAAAATGAAAGGTTTCATATTGTTTAGAACATTATTTTGAACATCTTTTGTTCAATATTGCTTTTGAAAATATTTCCCACTTTTGAGATATAAAGCGTCAAAGATTTAGCATTCTGGCCCCTTACGATCCCTAATTATGTAACATATGATGTGAATATTGTAATATATAGTTGTAAATTGTTGAGATAAACATTTTTGCTTCAGTAATGCATTACAAAATATTGATCGTTAAAGAGTTATTGATTTAATACTTTTGGCCCCTCTCGGCCCCTAATATGACGAGTCAGCCCTTTTTTCTTGATATCGTGATAAAGATCTTGTCATTCTGCACAAATATTGTTCAGTATGTTTTCACAAAATAATTATACTTTAAAAGATATGATACAAAATGTCTCAAAAATTCACTCATAATTCGTGTCCTAAATTTCGACCCCTACCGAGCTTCCATACTAGGCACTTCCGGAAAATATCTAAACCCAGGTGCAAAATTGCAACATGTCCTCTATCATCACTGAAAATTTCAGCACTCTAGCTTGAGCCGTTTTTGAGTTCCATCGCAGACAAGGAGGTCCTCTGAATTTTGATAAAAGGGCGATAACTCCGGACCGGAAGTGAATTTCTGAAAATTGTTTAGCCGGAATTAACTTCAGATAACCTAGCAACAATCCTGAAAATCTGAAGCAAATCCATCGATCCATCTCCGAGAAATCGTCTGCACAAAATTTGTGCAGAAAAAAAGAATAATAATAATAATAATAATAAGCTTGAAAAAGAAACCTAAGAATAATAGAAGGGTCTTCCGCGGAAGACGGAAGACCCTAATAAAAGTGAAAAAGAAACCGAAGAATAATAGAAGGGTCTTCCGCTGAAGACGGAAGACCCTAATAAAGGTAAAAAAGAAACCTAAGAATAATAGAAGGGTCTTCCGCTGAAGACGGAAGACCCTAATAAAAAATAGATGATTTAATCTACATGGTCTATCAGAATTGAAAAAAATAGCCAAATTTCATATTTGGATGGCAAAATGTATATATTCCATTGGATATTTACCATTTTATACATGCTGTATTGGAATATTTTTAAAATACCTTTATTATTATTGCCTGCCCTATTTATTGTATAGTATAGAGTAACTTGAATTTGTTTTATTTAAATTTTTCAGGTTTTATTGAAACAATTCCTTGAAATGTCAAAGTACAAGAAGTAAGAAATAATGTTCTGGTTGACTAAAGTATCAAGCCAATTGAAGTAATTGAGTTTTTCAAGTAAGTGAGCAAAATTTCAAATAAAAACCATGGCCAGCCGTGGTAACGTGTGTATCCAGATGTGTGAGTCTATGTACCAGCTCCCATCCCGGGTTGCCTGCTTTGTGCTGGTTCTCATTCAGGGAGGGATACTGGATTATTATCTGGTGACCCACAAGAACGTCTACTGGTATGGCTGGATTGGAGCTGACGTTGCCATTGGGTTTGTCCTGTTTGTGGCGTTTATGATATCTTACCGACATTTGAAGTACATCAGGAAGTGCAGCACCAGTAATCGACCAATCCAGGCAGGAAGTCTCCCTCTAGGCTACTTCGCTTGGTTTATTTACTCCTTAGCTCTTGCTGGAAGGGTTGGGATTATTTTTAATGACTTTGCCTGGGAACTGAAAGAAGAAGATGTTTTTGGGCCGAATACATTAAAAATCACGATATCTCTAGCTGCCATAATATTTTTGTTGTTATTGATGAGTCATCACGATGCGGAGTGTAACTCAGAGCGCCGCCACTACATCGAGGAGATGACCGCCACTGTTGTGTTTGATATTCTGGATTCTGTAGATGCCCTTGACATTATGTTTGAGAGAGAAGACATTGATGACCTGCCAAATGGAATGGGATTATGTATAATCAGTATTTCCTGTTTAAACCTAATTCTGCCTGTCCTGCCATTGTGTTCGTTAAGCCGTAGTCACTTTGGACATCATGTCCGCCAGGAATCTATCATCTTACTACACAAGCTTTCACTGGTTTTTGTGGTTAACCTGCCACTACTTGTGTTTAGGCTTGTTCTATGGCATGCTCTCAGTAAAGAAATCTCCATATTCCCTGTGAAGAACGTGATTGTGATATTTCTAGTTTTCCAAGATCTGTATGAGAGAAATCGCCAAAAACTGAAGGCAAGAGATGAGACTGACTCAACTGCCTCCCAAGAGATGAAGCGATTTCCTATCCAGACATGAGAGGAATTCAACTGCCTCTCACAAGATGAAGCGATTTTCTGTCCAACCATGAGATGAAACAGACTCAACTGCCTGTCACGAGATGAGGCAATTTCCTGTCCAGACTTTGGATGAAACTGGTAGAAAAGATCTGAGATTTATTTGTATTTTTTTGTGTTTTGTTGTAGTACACATGTATTATGTAATGATGAATGTAAAATTTTTAAAGTGATAGAATTGTTCCTATATTTTGTTTGAATATAGAGTTGTATTTATCATCATGAAAGGTCAGCCAAAGAAATGTTGTGAACTAGCTCACTTTGGAGTTTTTGACACTGTGTAAAAATTGCATAATTTGATGAATTTGTGTTTTTGTGTAGTGATTAAAGCACAAACCTTTCTTATTTCATTGGATGTATATAAACAATGCATGGATGCATGAATTGTTGTATACTTAAGCAAATTCAGAATATAAGGAAGTAGAATTATATATAAGAAATGTGCATGCATTAATTGGCAGTCAACATTCATTCAGTCCTCTATAATCCATGTATAATTATACTATTTATAGCTTAGTCCTTACTGCCATCAGAATTACATTGAGGTGTAATTCTGTGTTATCATTACATGAATAGTTTGAGCTTGATTCCACGATTCACCAACAAGGGCAAGTCTTACACTAGCTGTAAAATATAATTTGCTGACCTGTTCACAGTTACATGTATGATATGGAGATGCCTATACTAACATTAGCAGGGTTGTTGGTCACCAAACCTATTGGTTCCAATTTCATAGAATTACTGTATATTTATTTTTCTGAGAATGAAATCCTTATCATATTTACATACCTACAAATATATAGAAATATTGTTAATGTGTATTTATATTGTTAAAAAATGAGATTTTTTTATGAATATATACTGTCTATTTATGTGGTAGTCCTATAGATATATTAAACTTGTACAGAGTAGACGATAGGTTTATAAATGTTTAGCGTCTCTGTATGAAGAGTTCCTTCCCTTGACATGACCAGTGGGTTGCTGTTCGTCAAGATTAAAAGTATCCGTAGACTAGGTTAAATTCACTCTCGTGTATAGCGTGTCTGTATGAAGAGTTCCTTCCCTTGACTGGGTTGCTGTTTGTTACGATTTAGAAGTACCAGTAGACTATTAATAGGTTTATAAATGTTTAGTGTCTCTGTATGAAGAGTTCCTTCCCTTGACTCGACCAATGGATTGTTGTTGTGAAGGTTGAACTGGTCTCCGATTCTATGATGTAGAAAACCTGTTAGGGAGATTACTAGATAGCAAAGTAAAACTATTAACAAAGTTAAATAAATATTATTAACACTGTAAATAAATGGAATCAGCTACAATAAATAAACATGTATGGCACTGCATTGAAAAGGTGTTGCGTAGAATTTAAAATACAGGTAAACTTCGGTATCTCGACATCGGATATGTCGACAACCTGGGATATGTCGACATCCTTCCGCGGTCCCGGCAGTATTTACTATATAAATGATTTGCAAAAACTCTGATATGTCGACCTCGGTAATGTCGACAACCCGGGTTATCTCGACGTATATTTACAGTCCCAAGAGCAAAATTTACCTGGTATATGTCGACATCGGCAATTTTCTGCTCTACTGAACCTAACTGTTTGTCAGATAGGGTCGCTCGTCACGCACGGACGACTCCGGGTATCTCGACGTCGTCAAAGTTTCACACCTTTCACACCCATGTTTTGACTGCACGCTGCTTAATTAATTTTATAGACTGTGTTTGTAGGTGAATCCCAAGCCCCTTCGGCGTCTTTGAGAAGTTCATTGAGCTTGGGTAATATCATTACTAAATCTACACGATTCTGCGTAAATGTACAGAATGTTATTTATATCGAAACGTAACATAACTTTTAAATTTGAAAAAGATAACTAAATAACAATGAATAAAAAAATACACTGAAAAATTCAGACTAAGGAATTAAAAAAATGTTTTAATGATATTTTGTAGTTAAAATGTATTCAACAGGAAACAATCCAATTAACGACACGATTGACCGAATCAGCCGTAATTCGTGCATCTGTAACATCACTACGTTAGTTTAGATACACAAATCTCTTTAAAAAAAATTAATTTTAATGTATATTCTTCCAGAATAAAATAAGAAAAAAATAATCCGCATTTATATATATTTTTTTACCGTATATCGGATGTCGACTTTATACGGTTCGAAGTTTATAGAGCGCATTTCGTATCCTGTTCTGACGAAAAGGCAAGTTACACGCGAATGCAGCTCAATCAGTCTAGACGAACTCCAAAAACAGCGTGAACTCCGAAAATGAAGTCTTTGGCTCCATCATGCATTGCGGCAAAATGGCGTCCGATGTAAACAAACGATGGATTGTCGTTCGCTTTCTCCAAATATATGACTGTGATTAGTGCATATGTGACTTTATTTTAATTTTTGTTGAATGGATAATTACATTTATTAAATTATTTTGTGGATATTGACTTATTTATCGCTTCAAACTCTTGCATAATAGTAAAATGGATGTATGACATCGAATTCAATACTGCCGGTAAGAATTATATTCTTATTTGATTTATTGTCTCCTTGATTTGAATTTTATGTCGTTTCTACAATAAAGGTGCTTTTATTTGTTTTTGAAAACACCCAGCTTGTATTTATTTTAATCAGAAAATGCGTATTTTTCACCACGGAGCAGAGCTATTCACAGGTTCATTTTTAGAAGACGTGTTGTGACCTTAATTTCTAGAAGAGTGGTTTTTGAAGTTTCATATTGATAGATAATAGTTTTAAAAATGTTTTCATAATAATATTTGTTTGTTTGTGATAAAAAAAATCGGTAAATAACGATGGTAAGAACTTACGCGTTCAATTCAACTGTCGTACACATATAAAAAAAACTGGACTGCTAATTTATGTGTAAAATTCAGTCAAGTTTTGAACAGTTACAATATATATTGTCCCATTTTGCATATATATGCCTTTTATTATGCATATTTACTTCTCAAACGTATCATTTTCTCTGTAATTGATCTGTCTTTAAACGTCAACTTTGGAAGTAAATATCTCCTTTTTTGCAAATAAAATCAAAAATCTGACAAATACGATCTCTTCCGAAGTCTTTTATTTAGCATTTCTGAGTACTGGCATAATTGCCATACTTTCCAAAACTTTGCACGGAGAGTTTTTGTAGACCCATCATTTTTGCCGAAAAATCGCCATTTTTTGTGTGTGTGCGCATGCGCGGACTCTATTTTCGGAGTCTTTTTCAGTCTCAATTTCTTACTTCCGGAAACGCTGTTTTTGGAGTTCGTCTAGACTGTCAATGCTGTAACTTTGTGCTGAAACTTTGTGAATTTAGAAATATTTCGATAAAGAACACGTTTCATAAACAAGATTTTTAAAATAACTTCTTAGATTTTTAATAAAAATAGAGAGATTCTGAAATATGTTGAGCTACAGTCTATATTAAAGTCATGTACATATAATAAGCTTGTCTGTTTTGCTGTGCAATGAAATCTTGGACGTCAAGTCTCAACTCTGATATCTCGACACCTCGGATATCTCGACATTTTACGATGGTCCCGTCGATGTCGAGATAACGAAGTTTACCTGTACATGTAGTACATGTAGTGTAACAAAGTCAATTATTCTAATCTTTGATAAATAGATGATATTGGAACTGTACAATAAATGTTCTTTTGTAGATTATAGTCATACATATAGCACTTACAGGTGTTAGTAGGTATGATCTTAACCCATACATTAGTTTAGATGGAGTTAACTGGAATTTACAAGATATTCATTGTGATTAATATTAACCCAGTTTCTTGATCATTACCTGTGTAAAAAAAAAAAGTGTACTCTTAGTTTAAGTTTCTCTGCCTTAGGCCATAATTTAATATAAAAAAAATATATATACCAGAACCCTCCAACCTCTTTTCCCTTTTTTAAGGAAGTGTTAAATTGTTTTTGTGTTTCATTTTAAAGCAATCATTCCATAATAAAGATATAAATGAATTGAAACTCAATGTTATGTGCAATATGATGCTGTAATCTTTGTTTTATTCTTTTAGATTTATTTTGACTGTACTTGCTTGTTTTGGTTGTATTTTTATTTAAAATGTTTAAACAATTTTTTACTCTTTTTTCATTTATATGTCAGCCTTATTCACTGATGAATTTTTTTCTAAGTTGAATCTTTTCAATGTTTAACTTCAGCTAAGCTTAAGCCAATACTTTCTAATTTGTTGTTTTTGTATTCATTTTATTTCATGTTTAATTTAAGCATGATCTTTGTGGATATTTTACTCATAATGACATTGTATAGCCATGCAGAGATAACTCTCTACTATGAAGATGTTGTAAGGTTACCATACTCTGCTTGCTCTTATGTGTTCATGTTTTTTTTTTTTTTTTTTTTTTTTTTTTACAACCAATGAAACCCTGGAAGCACTTCAATGCAAAATGTGTGTTATTTTGTGTACTTTACTAAATATTCATCATTATCAGCTTGTGATATATCTTGCCAATCAAGCACCTGCTTTTTTTCTTGGCATAGATATCTACTTACTCAACACCCAATATCTGTTGTACGTGTTGTATACCAGTGTAGTTCTACAATGACTACATGATTGTATCAAGTGAATGCCCTAGTGTGAAATCAAGAATGAATTTAGTGTTATACATGTATGCAGTGATATTTCATTTCTTTATTGTATTTTTATCTGTTTCAAAGATTTAAAGGCTAAGATTGGTGTGTACCAGGGTCTATTTTGGTAAATTGTACAGCCTTGGTACATCTTATTTAGTTCCAATGACCCTAAGAGTGCCCCCACTCTGTCAGTCTTTTAAAACTCAGAAGAAAAAGTGTTCCTTAATCATCAAGTCAAAATCTAAATTCACTTTTGAAAGAACTGAGTCTTCTTATCACCTCTGATGCAAGAAAATTTACATTCTTATCAACTCTGATGCAAGAAAATTGTAAAAAAAAAAAAAATTTAAGTCAGGAAAAAATCTTTTCTAAATGTTCTATTTGAATGTAAACCAAGCCTTCACAAATCAGAATTATTTATAATGAAGGGTTGAACAAAACCACTCATTTCCAAAATTTCCTAAGCCCCTTTGGTACTTTCTGAGATGTATTCGTCATAAATAGTAAAATTAAACAGTTGAAACAACAGAAAAATATTCAGTAGAATACACTTTGAAGTTGGTAATATCTATAATTACTAGTATGCAATATTAATATTATGTGGTGCAATTGAATTTTTTTTGTTTTGTTTTTTCTTGCTATTATAATTCATTATGTACAAATTATCTATCTGAATATGAATCTCAAATAAATATATATATTTATCTAAGGTAGGTCACTCTATCCAGACTGCAGATTTATTTTAGAAAAAAGTTGAAATTTCTACGTCCATGTATATGCATGTTTCAAATTCTATGGTATTAACCACTGTTTTATATGTAACTCTGTATTTATGATTTTAACAAATCCAGTTAAAAAAAATATTTAATACATGTAGATAACTATAACTTGAAAGTTCAAAAGAAATTGTATGGAGGGGGATTTAAAAGCTTGAAATAAACAGTTTTTTTAATTTATTTTACATGTATATTCAATTTCTTCAAGCAATATTTAACATTAAGGCTGTAGAATAAACTTCTGAAATAAATAATGTATATTTGTAGTGAATAGAATTAATATAGGACTGGTGCACTTCAGTAGTCGATCCAGACACTTCGTTATAATCCTTAATTAAATTTTCTCTGGAACATATTATAAGTGATATTAAATGAGGCTTATTTGACAGTAAAATTTAAAGGTTCAAAATATCATTTAGAACTTTGGATCACAAGTATTATCTCTCTCTCCCCCCCCCCTTCCAAAAAAAAATCACAAGAACAACAACAAAAACTTGCTTTCATATATATTTTAAGTATGAAAAGGTTCCCATCTCTATTTCATGGGTGAAGCACAAAAATTATCAAGTTTCTTATGATTTTGTGCTTTAAATTGATACACTATCAAAAATCTTCCTAGATGCATTCCTACTGAGGAGTGACCCCCCTTATAGATGATGCTTTTTATGCTATATGATGATGTCTATGAGAGGAATTTGTCTAACGATATTCTACTTAGGTATTCAATTTATATGTAGTCAGCTCTTATAGAATGAGATAGTTTATTATAGAATGTAGAATTCCAAAGGTGAACTTCAGTTTATACTGCTGATTCTTCAATGATTTTATATGTTGTTTTTATGATTTGATTGAAATTTTCTTGACTGTTTTTGTGATGTGAAGCCATAAGTAAAAAATAAATGATGTAAAAATATTTCAGAATTATATTTGACTCGTAATAGAGGAAAAGACAGTCAGGTGTTGTTGGTATCATCTCAGAGAGCAGCTGTTGTAGAATTGTTGTAGATCTCAGAACGTGGGGAAGCTTCCTTTTCTAAATAAAATTTAATTTATGAATTACATTACAGGCTTTGAAACCATGGAGAAAAGCAATATTGACAAGTGCTACTCCTGTATATTCACAGGAATAATGTACCAAGTATGTGTTCAAGATTATATAGTCAGAGCTACGATCTTGAATGATATGTTAACCTAGCTATTACACAGGGAAAGCTAGTAGAGATATTTGATTCTAGGTACCATATCCAAGTTTATCAATTTACTTACCACTTAAGTTTGTGGGTATTTGATTTCTGGCTCAGAAAGTATGATAGACCAACATGATTCTCTAATTTGAAATTTTTAGTAACAGTTTAGGTAACATTTTATAGAGGATAAGAATTTGTGGATCCTTTCATACCATGAAGACAACAAAAATTAACCCCCATTGAAAGTTTAAGATTTCACAGTAAAAATTACACATCACCTGGCCCCCAGGGCAGCCCCCAGGGCCAGATAAGCTGAACATAATGCTCAGCATCTGGCATCAGTGTAAACTTTTCAAAAAATTGTCCTCTAAATCTTCAAGACAGAGATTTCTTTAGACTTAATTGTATTGATGTTGAGCATATCATCTACAAAGGTTTTCATTCAAAAATTAAACAAGGCTGCTGTTAATATATGAATCCAACATAGAGGTTATATGCAGTTTTTAGGTAATAACTCATAAGAACAAAATCTAACAGGGTAAAAATTATCAGCGAAGATCTGATTAGTTTTATGGAATGTGTGCACTAATTTTTGAGTTATGGCCCCACTGAAATGTCCAATTCTTCTCTTCTTTGATTTTTTTTTATACTGTTATTTTGGAAACTATTGAAAATACAGAATAACTTAATTAAGTTTATTTTTGTAGCAAAATGATTTGAATTTCATCAATATTTGTTTCCAAATGTTGGAGTTACAGTCCCTGAAACATGATGATTTTGTTGTTATGTAGTTTTTGGCTATTTATTTTAAAAATTAATGAATAATGTTCAGCAAATAAAATTGATTAATATTTAAGTCTTATAAATATCTGAATGACCATTTTGGAATTACTAAACTGTCAAACTGTTGAAAGTACCAGTCAAATATTGGCTACAGTCAGGCTAGCAATATTAAATTCTGACTCTTAGGAGCCTCTTCTTACTTTATTTGTAAAATGTTTAACTTTACTGCAACCAGAAATGATCTCTAATTATAATTGGTAAACATCAGAGTTTGAAATACTGTATGCATTTCTTGCATTGTTGCACTTTTTGGGCGATATAATGGGAATCAATGCTATTAAAGACTGTTTATTGCAAACCAGCCTTTAACAATCCCAGAACAAATAAGATCAGATAGACAAGATCAATTATGATTTTAGCGAATTGCACAAAAAAATAGACCACTGTAACAAGTCCCTAGATCTACTATGTTACAAATTGCATTGTTATTGTTCTCAGTGAATCTCATTAATAATGAGACAAGTTGCTTTCTTTCACAAATATAGATTCATCATTTTTCAAGAGGTCCTTGTTTTGGGGAGATGGGGGTGTTCCTGAGTCATTTTTGGTTACTTTACTATAATAATTTGAAAAGGGGAAGCTGACAACCCCCCAATCTATATCCATGATTTTTTTTTTTATTTTTTTTTTTTTTGGTGAGTTAATTCAAATACCATGCTTTGATAGCAAAAGCAGATAAGGAAATATTTTAGTATTCTCCATAACATTTGAAGCATTTGAGCCATTTTCCAATATTACTGTTATATGGAGAGATTCAGATTGAATTCAAGTGACCTGGTCTTTTCCAAGAGATGATTTTAATATTTAACCTAAGAGGGGTTCAAATGTAAAAAAAAATATATATATATATTACAAAAGGAAATATATATATGACCTGATGGGCAAATGCAATGATACAATACCTCCACCCCACTGTTTTCCAAAGTTTGGGAGGGAATTGACAAAAGGTTTTTTTTTTGTATTTATTAAGTTCACCATGATACAAGCTTTAACATAAGTAGAGCGATCTCAACTTTGATTTTATTGATCGAAGGTTGAAGATATTTGGGCCTACACCTTATATATGAGCCCTAATGTACATATCCATTTAGAAAAAAAAATACATAGACCCTAACATGTTATTCTTCGCAGGTTAAACCCATTAGTCGAAAGAAATGTAAACATCTATTTTCAGTGAAATACATAAATCAATTAACAATTTACCATCACACACATTAAGTTAGTAAGCGATGGCTTTCGAACATGCTCCACATGCCAAGTGCTTCTACTTTCATTTTTGATGTGGGTTGCTAAGTTACGTGTCAACTTTCGGTGGCGCTAATAAACAAGATGGCTGACGGAAATAACAGGTACTGTGACACTTTTCATTTATTGACGGTTTATTGAAGTTGCTTATTAGGAAAAGTTGTTTAATTTATTTAGTATTATGGATATTTGATTGGGATACACACAAAACGTGTACTTGATCTTTTCCGAGGTTTTGATAACTTTTGTGAGATTGATGGTGTCTTGCACCGACGTGCTCGCTTGTGCTGTTATTGTATTTCACATGCTTGGTATTTATATTAGCACTTTTTGTACAATTTTCTAATTTATTTTATGCCAAACACAAGAGTTGGGATCATTTCTCACGTTGGTATAGTGAAAAGCATAGACGCTCGTTGCAAATTTTTAATCATTGAAATTCCTATACAGGCCCTAAATATTTTACTTTGCATTGCGCAGGATAAACGTTTTTTTTTCTCCTTTGTAGTCATTCTGTTAAGCACATCATTAACCGTTTATCTCGTTCATGTATTATTTAAGTATATTATTAATGTGAATTTTCATTGGTTTCCTTTTCATATTGCAGTATGAGGTGAGCCCCACACATCACAATAATGGGGAACGCTCAAAGTGAAGAAGATCGGCTTTTCTTCTTCCAACAGAACAGTGAGCAACCCTTAATTAAGAAACGTTATAGAAAGCTTCCAGAGGATCTGCCCGAGGGGCTCAAGTTTGCTCATCTTCACCCCAAAGTCGCTGCTCTGTATGCTCAGAAAGAGCGTGAAAGTCAACGTGCAGCTGAAAAAGATCCATTTGGGGATGGTCTAGGAAGTAAAAGTTTGTTGCCAAATATTAACCAAGCAGTGACCCATATTAAAAATAGACTTGACAGTGCATTGTCTAATGATGAAGACTCTCAGAGATTTTTATTTGAAGACACCAAGGCCCAAGCGATTTCGGTTTTGCAACAGTTGGCCAAGTATTTATATTTTTATGATGACATAGCTAGTCATGTGCCAAAGAGTTTAGAGTACCAGCTGATGAGTAATTGGAAAGACTTGACCAGTGACGTAATCATCGTACCTCGGGAATGGCAAACAACAGAAATCCGTGACCAGTATTTTAATTCCTTACGAGAAGCTCAAAGTGATGACGATAGTGACAATGAAATTAAAGGCGGAAAATCATCTGAAAAATTAGACACAAAGTCCAAAACCAAAAAACTCAACAAGCCACCTATTCCAGATATAATTGAGGATGAATTTCGTCCAGATAAACTTGCGAATCGACGCTCTGAGAGCAGAATGTCCACAGTGTCTATATCCAGAGGAAAGTTAGATGTCAAAGGGTTAAAGGGAGCACGGGAACATAGGGGCTCCAGTAAGTCAATATAAATATAGCTGCTGATATTATATACAGTCATATATATAAAGTAATTCTGCTATTAATTTAGGGAGTGGAACAATATTCAAAGGACAAATATATAATTAACAGTTTATCCAGAGTTGTGTAAATTTATTGTTGGTTTTATATATTGAACTAAACTTTATAAGTATTAACATTATGATATTTAAAACATGATCATTTTGGTAATTGACAATGGGGAAAAAACTGCACAGTACCAAAAAACTAAAAATTAAATTTTGAAATATACATGTATCTAACCTTTTTTTCTGTTCCATTGTTTATAATTGTTTTCTAGAATTTGGTAAAGAAAAAGAATATCATTTTCATGAATGATAAAACGGGAGTATAATTATGTAATATATATGGATTAAAATTGACTTTCTATCAAGAATCCCAAGGAGGGAAAAAAATCCTGCTGAATTATTAATGTGTATAGTATTGCTTTCCTTATCAAAAGGGATTAAAGTCTCAATATTTCCATGATTATATAATTTGGAGGCCAAGGTAGATTGATAAAGGATGTTTTCATGATTAGGATTATGGAAAATGTTTGTCAGTGGGTCGCTAGCATCGTACAATCCCCATGTAATCCCCTTCAATTGACAAGAACCTAATTTATGGATCCCTAGCATTACCATTTAAGCACTCTCTCCTGACTAATTTCAGGTGCTCTCACAGGTACAGTGGTGAATGCATGCTTTTGTAAACAAGTTTCACTTTTAATTTTTTATCCATATACAGTTGACTTTTCATATACATGGGGCACGCCTGGCCTTTTGAATATTTTTGTATCACTTTCACCTTTATTCCATTGAGACACTTTTTTTCTTGCAAAATGTGATCACAGCTTCTTCAAGTCTGGCTTTGTTGTATTTAGTATTTCAATCAATTTAATTAATGGCTTAAGTAATTCACTTTTGATTGCATTAATTTACTGCCAAGTCAAAGTCATGCTTGATTTTTTTCCCAGTCAATTCTAGAATCCTTCTTCAAACATTCAAAGAAGGGTCAATTTGAAAAGTATCTACTTTTAATACTGAAAAATTCTCGTACTGCATGATTATAGAAATTCAAGATCAAGTTCAAAGTTAGCTGTACAATATCATGTTCAAGGGGAAAATGGACTGAATTCATGCCTTATCAACTGAATACAGAATATATACACTCAACTGCAGAGTTTTTTGACATCTTTAAGTGTTTTATGTACTTTCTGGCATTTAGGAAGTAAATGCTGTGTTTTGGACGTGGAAGGTTACACTATGCAATGCTATGTATTGGACAAGGATAATGTTTTGCACACATATATTAATTGTTTTTGTTTCCCTATACATACTGGTATATAAAGAATGAATTCAGAATTCTTAAAGTCAATAATAACACAAAGGACAGGGAATCGAACTCGAAGAAAAATGATTAAAAACAGCCGCTGTAATGAGCTGAGGATTGGATCTGAAAAATGAGCACATCAATATGTAGTCAATAAATGGCATTACTTCATGACAAAAATGTTTAATAAAAAATCTTTAAGTTAAGGCATTTTCATAAATTTGAGCACTGAAATCTGAATGATTTGGGAAATTGCTTCACATCGTAGGAACTGTGTATGGATTTGTATCTAAAGCTGGTTCATATTAGATGATGGGGGTCCTTTGCCCCCGGAAGGTGACAAATTCTTACAAATAAGAGGTGTTTTTTTCCCCTTGGTTTTAGGATAATTTCATATAAGTTCTACATACATGTAAAAAAAAAAATTCAAACAATAATAAATTGTTCTGAATCTGTAAGTATTTATAAAATTGTAATGATATCTTTTATAGCAGTTTTCTTAATTACAAAAAATCTACAAAATTTTTACAGTTGAACAATGCAAAAATATCTTTAAACAACTGTAATTTACTGATTAAATTTTGGGAAGATAAACTTTAGGAATTGTACACTTCAACTGTCAGTTGGGTTTAAGCTCCGTAGGGACCTTATCATGGATCGTGCTAATGGTTGTTGGCAAATTCAGCAATTTTCTGATAAACTTCAATCATGAAATCTTGTTCATGTTTCATTGAACAATCATTACATGGCAATGTAGACGCTGATTGGAAAACTAATTTCTGAGGTATTGCTAAACAAACATGCACCACCATGCCAAAAACATCAACATGCAAATAATGCCAAATATTGATTTCCGTGTTATTAAAGACACTTTACTTTGTGGTTATAAGATTGACATTACTAATTAAAATGCAGACGTTACCAAACATGAAGAAATTAAATGTTATTTATGTTAAATTCCTGTTGGTAAATATTTTTATATAATTTTTGCCACTTTTCAATTGACTTTATCATAAAGCAATGTTGAGTTTGTTGCCATCCACAATTTTAATTTGTGGAAGCTGGTAATATATTAATCTTTGTAATGGATAGCAAATTTTTTAACACCTTAGTCTTTACATAGCTTTCTGCCATTGGACATCTAAAATCAGGGTAGTCGATCATGTTGTAGCACGAGGTATAACCATACCAATTGTCAGGCATTGTAAGTTTGAGTTATAGATAGGAACTGAAAGATTTTAATTTAAATTACTCCTTTGAGGCAGTGTTTGCACAACATTAATGATATCTGACGATTTTTAATGATTCTGAACCATTATATTCTCACTGTGATAAATGTTATTTTGACCACAGTTGTGATCAAATGGCTATCTGAATATCTGTGTATTCAACTATATTGCTGAGTACTTATCGACTGTAATTTAAATGAACAATGAATTTGCTCTTTTGTAAGTGTACTGTTGAGATCAAAGCTGTAGACACACGCCGTTTTAGGATTACTGCATGCTTTGAAATGGCAGGGGAATTTAATTTCAATTATTTAAGTCCTTAATTGCCAGTGTCCAAATATTTGAATGAAAGGTTTCACTAGAAGAGTAAGGCACAGAACGAATGAATCGGTCTTTGAAGTTCAATTGGGCTGTTAACAGATTAAAAGATATTGCTAGGTTTTAATACAGGCGGCTATAATATGAAATAGGCATCCAATATTTGTAAAATATTTTGATCATGATACAAGGCAATATGTGTTGTATTATTTTGGGAAAAATTATATATTAAATACTAAGATAGTATAGTATATACATATATCTATAGATTGCATGCATTAAAGTAATACTAGAATACAGAGCTATATTAATAAGACTAGCTGATATATATTGGTCTAAGATCAAGTATGCCAAGTTAATATATATCTCTTATGTTTTTCTAACATAATTATTCTCAAAATCTTTTTTTCACCATCTTATATTTCTTGGAAATTAATTTCAAGATTACAGAATATGCACAACTTTGAAATGTAGCTAGTATTTTCTTGATGGATTTCATTCAAACTTGGCATGCCTGTTCTATGCTTTTTTTCACCACTCTATAACAGTTCCAGGAGTTCGATCACCAAGCATGCGGAAGCAGACACACGATGACCTACTTTCCAGCTATGGGGAAACCCCCTCCGATCCCAGATGTGAGTTGTGAACACTGGTTTGTCCATTTCTGTCGTTCCTCCTCCCGCTGAACCCTCCCCTGTGATAATTATAAGATTATATGTTTAATTGTCAACCTCCAACAGTTAACAGCTAAACATGACATGCTAAATAACAAATCTGTATTTTTGAGAGTTATTTATCAGACTGTCTGTTATGCTTTATTTAATTAATTTGATCTCTGCATAATTTATTAATGTAAAAAAAAAATTAAATTTTCATAATTTCACACAATTAATTGCTGAATAATCTTCGCTTCTCTAATTTTTTCAACAGTAAAGACTTTCTACAGTATATTTAGAGGAAAGTAAACCCATTTAAGATATGTTGCTTGCATAGTACATGGCCATTATAATTGTGCAAGATTCTACACAAAGTTTAATGAGTTCAGATCGTTAACATTTGAATTAAAAATCTTTTATTTGCAGTGAACTTGTGACTTTTGCTGTAGGCTAGTATTTGAATTTTGAACCACATATATATTCAGGATTTTGTGCCAGAAAATTTCTTCTCTTTGTGAATAAAATAAACAATTTATTAAGCTATAATTTTAATGGTATAATTTCTTTTCTGTATTTCCCTCACTTGAAAATCCATTTAATCAAAAGACAGAGATGACAAACTTTTGTTCAAATCTTTCTACTATCAGACATGAATCATTGGAATCCAATAGCAATTGTTTAAATACTTAAATGAGGCTAAATATTCTTAGTAAATGTAATTTCCAGTCTTTTTGATATTTCATTTTTATTTTCAATTTAGATTTTTTTTTATTTAATTCAAATTTTCTCAGATGGGTTTCTAAGAAATGCGAACTATTCAAGTATGCTGTTTCAAAAAGTTTGATTTATATTCAATATTCTTTAATTTGATACAAATTTTACCATGATGCACAGATCTTTTTCTTAATTTTCTTTCTTTTTCATCTTTATAGAAAACATTTAACATACTAGTTTACTAATCTTTTTAAATTGCATGTTTTACATGTAATATGATTTTAAGTCCCTGAATTTGGGAAAACTTAAGCAATGCTTGTTTTTTAGAAGGTTAATAATACAAATCTGATATCATATTTGTACATAATTATATGACTGTATTTCATTTCTCTCACAACAGCCACAGCAATGACCAACCCATCCTTTGGACAGCAAGTTGTCATTAATTTTGCAATATCATCCAAACTTTGTCAGGAAAAAGGTATGCAATACATAAATGCCTTAAAGACTTATTAAACTTTCTTATAAAATAAATGTACAAAATAACAATTAGATATTAAAGGAAAAAGGGGAATTAATAAAATGGTATATAGAGATGATTAACCAATGTTTGAATAGATGTACATGATGTCATTGATTAAAGGCCACAAGAGGAATCATAAGAAATAAATTGGATTGATTTAAATTCAGGGTGGATCATTGAGAAAGGAAAACCAGAGGTGGAGCCACAGAAAATTTATGAAAGCTGCATTCAAATCCTTCGAGACTTCATGAAAAAAATGTGAGTACAAAATTAATGAGGGTATAGAAGAAAAACGTGATTGCACACAGTGTGTAATCAGGTTGATTGGGTTATATTGATTTTCTGATTTTCAAGATAGTATTGCAGTTTTTCCAATTTTAATGGCCTGACCACTGTACCAAGAGCAGTGAGAACGGTCAACATGGTCCAAGGGGTATAACTCTAATAACACTGCCAATGTTGAGAAATTATTTCAAAAATCTAAAATTCAAGGAAGAATTACAGAAAATGTATAATTAACACATGACTAAATTATGATTTAATTTACAAGACTAATTCAAGCAGACTGAACTGAGATGTTAAATTCAATATCACATGTATCTACATGTATATCTTTGACATATCCTTGCTGATTTTGAAAGATTGAATATGTCACTGTGTTTTCCATTGTTCCTTAATTGTCACAATTTTTAGGGACAGAATTTTTTCTATGTTTCAGAAGAAAATTCAACTAAGATAAAATTCAAAATTTTAAATGTGCTGTAATAGCACTCTATGTCACAGTAATTCACACTAGATGAGTTAGGGTCTGTCTATGCTTTTGTTTTTACAGAGAGACGGAACAGAAAGAGGACTCGGAGAGGGGTCATGATAAAGAGGTCACAGTACGTTACTATGGTGATTACAAAAAAGAAGTCCTACTTAAGTACCGCAAAACTCCTGCAAAACCTCAAATCAACCCCATTTTCAAAACAGGTAAACCTAGAATACCTCCTCTGCATGAAGAGCGCAATCAAGGGAAGAAACTCTTAGAAGCAACACATCAAGACGGAACCAGTGTTGTGTAGTATCCTTTCTCTGGTGTTTGTTCACTAAATGCTTCTACAATATACAACCATGACTGTACTGTACATTAAAATTGTTGAAATGATTGACCAAAATTATGGCCATAATGAATTGTTTCATTTATTTACCAGTATTTGCCTCTTGTGTTTGAAAAACAAATTATCCATATTTTTCGTAGATGAATGAAATACAATATCTACATTTTTGAAATCCTAGTAGCTATATATGGTATGAGTTAGGCGTATTCCACATGGGAGAGTTGATTTATTAGTGCACTATCATCTGATCTGCAGCTTGGTAGGAGGAGAAACCTTTGGTTTAGTAGAGAACTGAATTAGATTGATTTTTATTGTATAATTTCTTTTTATAGATAAGGACTTCTTTGAATTTTTAAACTAAATAACTTCCTTGACAGTGCTTTAGCTATCCTTCAGGTAGATCAGCCATTGTGTACTGCTCAGCAGGGGCGGAGCTTGGTCGCCCTGGTTACTATCTCCTTGCCTACGATGATACAAATGAGCACAGGATGCTTGCTTGTTTCACACCTTCTGGAAGAGGGGTGTGCTACTCCACCAATGGAAATATTAGGTAATTATAAGTGCTGCCTCTTTAATTAAAATGTCAATAATCCCGGTCCCTTCTCTTCCCACAGGATTTTTTTTTGTGGGGAGTGGATTTTTAACCAAGAAAAAAAAGTTAAAGAGGGGATTTATTTATCCAGACATCTCTTTTGTCTTGATAATTTTATCTGGAACTAAACCATGCAGATAAATGAAGAGCTCTATAGTATGTATTGAAAGCGTGATACCGATATATATGCCTCTTTCTTAAAATGATGTCTACACACCATGATAGGTATTAACTATTGTGAAGGGAAAAAGTTTGTATATAAACATTTAATGGGATTGTGGGCAAATTTCAGCTTCAGAATGATCACTCTAATGATATTGACATGTGATATGTTTTCAGGTTTTTGTCAACAGAAAAAGGGGGGCATTTATCAGAGCCAGATGGTACTATAGTTAGAAAATGGAAATGGCCCGTAAATAATGTCAAATTGACCACGCCTATTAATATACAAGTAAGTAAAGTGACTGTGTCTGTGTTAACATACATATTTGTATTTCAGTTCTTTAGCTCAAAGTATTTTTATACATTGATTAATTTGATATTTTTTGTCACATTGATACTGTACTCTAAGTCATACATGTATTTGAAACTTCACTGTTGAGCCAATAACATTTCCTGTAGGGAAAAAAAAGTATTCTATATTCTCAAACTTAACTTTGGAGAATAAGACCATGTATGTTCATCTCAGCATTCAGGGGGCCAAAACAATGCTAATCTTACATACATGTTTAGTTCGCTTATACCTGTGAATTATTCTGTTTCAGTTAAACAGTAACCTGGTGTTTCGATGTAACGGTCAGAGTTCAATGTCTCTGATGTTTAGTTGTCAGAAGGAGTTGGCCAGATTTAGTGTCAATCCTGTACCAGGGGCAATGGACTCCAAACCAGGGGATGAAAACGTATGTTGAACATGTATTAAAGAACTGAGCAACAAAATTTTTCAAAAGCAAAATGGGATTGGATCTTATTAGATACTGCATAATACAGATTCTGTAAAATTTCTATATATAACATAATTAACGTAAATTACCTTCAAAAAGTATTTCTCTTCCATGTTAGAAAAGGATTGTCTGATTAAAATTGGATACATATTATAGAAGATGTTTACAAGGAAACAGGTGGAACAAAGTGTAAGGTCTCTGACTTTTGTTTACAGGAGCAGCTTCTGATGACCTTTTCTTACTCCTCGAAGGCAGCACGAGACATGATGAGGCTGTTTGCCCCCAAACACAAGCATCGGTCCAAGAGACAACCAGCCAGAAAGGTTTGTACATAAGGGAACAGACTCCACAATAACTTTTGAACAGTATCAGATCAAGTCACATAGCTATACCAATACCTAAATATCAAGTGTCTTTAAGTTATTGATTTCATTGCTTTTGATCATATACTGCTACAATAATTGAATATTTATGCAAATTAAGTTGTTGAATTTTAATTCTTTGAAATGGCACAAAAAATTAACTTAACAACATATTGCCAGTCTTCACCTTGTCTATCTATAAAACTGTTTATCTTGCAGCAAAAGGGACACTTAGCAGAGATACAGAAGCTGTTAGTGGACTTTCCAGACAAGGCGCAGTATGAGCTGGAATCTGACAAAGAACTCGCCAGGCTTCAGAGGAAGGCTAGGTCAGAACAGAAAATAGACATGATAAACACAGGCCATCAAATCATGACGGAAAATAGTCAAGTAAAACACAGGCTTTAAAAGCTTGACAGAAAATATTGACAAGTAAACACAAGCCATCAAAGCATGCCAGAAAATAGACAAGTAAAACGCAAGCCATCAAAGCATGACAGAAAATAGACAAGTAAAACAGGTCATCAAAGCATGACAGAAAATAGACATGTAAAATACAGGCCATCAAAGCATGGCAGAAAATAGTCCAGTAAAACACAGGCCATCCAAGCATGACAGAAAATAGACAAATAAAACACAGGCCATCAAAGCATGACAGAAAATAGACAAATAAAACACAGGCCATCAAAGCATGACAGAAAATAGTCAAGTAAAACACAGGCCATCAAAGCATGGCAGAAAATAGACAAGTAAAACAGAGGACATCAAAGCATGACAGAAAATAGACAAGTAGAGCAGAGGACATCAAAGCATGACAGAAAATAGTCAAGTAAAACACAGGCCATCAAAGCATGGCAGAAAAAAGACAAGTAAAACAGAGGACATCAAAGCATGACAGAAAATAGACAAGTAAAACAGAGGACATCAAAGCATGGCAGAAAATAGACAAGTAAAACAGAGGACATCAAAGCATGACAGAAAATAGACAAATAAAACACAGGCCATCAAACCATGACAGAAATTAGACAAGTAAAACACAGGCCATCAAAGCATGACAGAAAATAGACAAGTAAAATACAGGCTATCAAACCATGACAGAAATTAGACAAGTAAAACAGAGGACATCAAAGCATGGTAGAAAATAGTCAAGTAAAACACAGGCTATCAAAGCATGACAGAAAATAGACAAGTAAAACACAGGCCATCAAAGCACAACAGAAAATAGACAAATAAAACACAGGCCATCAAAGCATGACAGAAAATAGACAAATAAAACACAGGCCATCAAAGCATGACAGAAAATAGTCAAATAAAACACAGGCCATCAAAGCATGGCAGAAAATAGACAAGTAAAACAGAGGACATCAAAGCATGACAGAAAATAGACAAGTAGAACAGAGGACATCAAAGCATGACAGAAAATAGACAAATAAAACACAGGCCATCAAAGCATGACAGAAAATAGTCAAGTAAAACAGAGGACATCAAAGCATGACAGAAAATAGACAAATAAAACACAGGCCATCAAAGCATGACAGAAAATAGTCAAGTAAAACAGAGGACATCAAAGCATGGCAGAAAATAGACAAATAAAACACAGGCCATCAAACCATGACAGAAAATAGACAAGTAAAACACAGGCCATCAAAGCCCAACAGAAAATAGACAAGTAAAATACAGGCTATCAAACCATGACAGAAATTAGACAAGTAAAACAGAGGACATCAAAGCATGGCAGAAAATAGTCAAGTAAAACACAGGCTATCAAAGCATGACAGAAAATAGACAAGTAAAACACAGGCCATCAAAGCCCAACAGAAAATAGACAAGTAAAACACAGGCCATCAAAGCATGACAGAAAATAGACAAGTAAAACACAGGCCATCAAAGCCCAACAGAAAATAGAAAAGTAAAATACAGGCCACCCAAGCATGTCAGAAATTAGACAAGTAAAATACAGGCCATCAAACCATGACAGAAATTAGACAAGTAAAACACAGGTCATCAAAGCACAACAAAAAATAGACAAGTAAAATACAGGTCACCCAAGCATGACGGAAAACAAACAAGTAAAATACAGGCCACCCAAGCATGTCAGAAAATAGACAAGTAAAACAATGGCCATTGAAGCATGACAGAATTAATCATTGACAATGTCACATAGAGCTTTTCCTATATCCCTGGCCTGGCATTGGCATAGAAATCCCATGGTCACACAGTCATCTATTCCATTGTTTTAAGACCAGTGAGCTAAAGATTTGCAGTTTTGCACCTAGGTGCCAAAATGATAGATGTAAACTACTTTGAAATGAACAAATAAATGTAGAATGTTTTTCATTGTGTTATAGGAACCTTGTTGATGATTGGCTGGAACATTACCGCTTGGCCATTGGACTAAAATCACCTCACATGATGAACGTCCGTGACTCTCCGGACTTCTCCACTCAAGCACGCAATATACAATCTGCTAAATTAACAGACAGCGGGCAGGCGGCCAGACTGAAGCATCTCGGCTTAGAGACATTGGTAGATTTAAAGAAACAGAGAACCCCCTCAGCACCTCTTGGTATGACCAAGTTTTTGTCGAAGATTAACTTTATATATTTATTGATTTTTACTTCACAATTGAATACAATTAGATTTGATGGAATTTTCAATAGAACTGCATATTACAAACACTTTTTTCCCTATAAACATGTACTTGCACTACCAAATTTTGCTATCACAGAATTTTTTAAAATCTTTTTTTCTAACCCTATAATCATCAAAACTTTATGTATTTGATTGTTAAAAAAATACACATATAGATACAAGCAACAGAATGCACTTTGTTAACAGCATATCTTAAAGATTCACATTTGTTATGATTTGTACTGCCCCCTATTTAGTGTTATATAAAATTCCCCACCAGTTCCTATAGAATTGTTACGAGCCTTTCTTGCATTTGTTCTCAGACCCCGTAGTCCATGACAACTCTGTGTTTGTCACTCAGTGTTCTAGTAGTAAGTAAATCTGTAGTCTTATCTCGGTAGTCCTCACTGTATCTCTTATCTCCAGTATATATATACATGTTCTCTATTTATATAAATCTTATTATTACTATAGGGGACTTCTTAGGTAATTTATTGCATGTTATTGTAGTAGATACATTCATTGTTGTATAATTTATTTACCATTAACATACAGTCATGTTTGTTTTCTTAATCATTGATCTTCATTAATTTTAGGTCAGGGTGATTGGTACCTTAATTAATTTAACTAAGCTAATCCTTTATTCAATGAAAATTTAATTGATTAAAGAGAAACATCTAGTAATGAGGGTTACAGGATAATTATTTGAACAGTTACTTTGGATGAGATGTACATTCTCAATTCATGATACTGGTTTCATCTCTCTGTTTCATATTAACCTTACTTCATTCCTGTTATTGCATGCACTGGTCCTCAGCCATTGGTTCATTATTTACACTGCATGTCTGATCATAATGTGCACAGTCAATCAACTATACACTGTTTTGTGGCTTTTTTAGATATAATCTGTAAACATTTTTATGTATGCATTATTTTTCAAGCACAATCTTCAGATTTTAATTATATTTTGTGAAATTTATAAAATCTGATAATAATATACAGGTACTTGAATATGTAAACTTGAACAAAATTTTTATAGTTAACCAACCATAATATAAGCAATTCAAAAATAAAATTTTGGGTTTAATTTCTGTAATGAAGTCAGTTTGATTTCATTTGAGTTTTTTTCAAAAGATGTAATGAAATCTTCCCTTACAGTGAAGGGCAGATCAGAAACTTCTAAATCATTAGATGTAGATACCTCAAAATCCAAAAAAGCTCAGAAGAGTGGGAACCAGAGTGCGGTTAAATTTGACGACAGTCCTCAAGATGGAGAAGAAGATGTGGAAACGGCCTCACCCACAGCAATGGCCATGTTTGAGAGGCTCTCGCAGTAAGTCAGTAGTAATATGACCTGGGGGGGATGCATCACTGACAGCAACTGCCATGTTTGAAAGTAAAAGGTTATGTTTGGAAAAAAGAGGGGGGGGCTGGGTGACAGCAGCCCCTCCCCATACTATGACTATGTTCCTGTCTAAGTCTAGTTCAGGTGGTACTTGTGTAGATGTTTAATGCATTGCATTTCTGTGGATGCATTTCTAAATGTTCATTGTATTGTAGTTCTGCGGGTAAACGATCTGCCAGAAGTAATGCTTCAGCTGTGTCCAGCGCCCCCTTGTCTCGTCAGCACACTGCCACATTCAGGTCTGAAACTTCAACCAATCTACAGTCCACTACCAAGATTCCCTGTCCAATCGCACTCCGCCAAAGGATTCTGGGATTGGACCAGCCCATGTGCCGCTGTAGCCGCCATTACATTCCCCAGATCATGGATATAGAATATGATGAATTTATTCAGAATGAGGCACCAGAGAGTCAGCTTCTTGTCATAGCTGTTATTTCATCAATGTAGGTTATAATTGACTTCTATCAATGTAGGTTATAATTGACTTCTATCAATGTGGGCTATTATTGACTTCTTAGGTTTTCTTGTTATAAGCTGACTTGGATTAAGTGTGAATGATCATGAAAATTTTTGTAATATCTATTCAATGATTTGTTTTATTTATTTAATCAGTGCGCTTATCTAATTAATGCTACAGTACCCAAGGACTTCTGTAAAAATATTTTTAAAAAAAGACAATTTTGTTAAGACCAATAAGTATGAAATTTTTAATGAAATGTAAACATTTCCCCCAGGTTCCCCCACACCAGTACTTCAGACCAGATGATAGAGGAGATATACTTATCTCAGAACCGGAACCGAACCAAGCCTTGTGTCCAGAGCCGGACAGACTTGTTCCGGATTTTCCAGTACGATATTAACACTGCATCGGAAGGTTCCGACCACACACAACCTTTGTTACTCACCAGGCATAATGTAGTACCGGGCATGTTTCTGGTGAGAATCTATAAAGAAATCTCCAGGATGAGTGTGAATTGTGAATGCTTTACTTGGTGGAAAAAATATGTACAAGTGAAAATAAATAAAAAGTTTTTGAAAGGAAGAAGAGTTTTAAAAATATATGTTATGATACATACAAGTTTGAAATCAATTTTGTGTGTATGTCTAGGTTGTATAAAGATGAACAAGAGAGATAACTCTTCATTTTGTGAGTGTAATGCTTCCTTATCTAATTTTCATTATGCCTTTTCAGATCTACTTGGGTGGAAAACTTTTATTTTGTGATCATATATTTAATGGCTATGGCAATGCCAGGAAGGATTTTAAGAAACAGCTGATGAAATCTAGAGTTCAAGCTCTGCAGGGGTTTTCTCTCCCTAAAGATTTCAAGTTTAGGTAGGTCACATTGAAATAAAAAAAATTTTAATGGTTAACTCTTTGCTTAACTATTTATTTAATAGGAGTAAAACTTCATAAAATGTGATTATTTTGTTGTAATGTATATATAATCATATAATCCAATGTATACAGAAAATTGAAATAATGATTGTTAACAAAAATGAGGGTGGTTATTGAGTACATGTTTGAAAATTTAACCATTTTTTATGTTTAATTTTTTTTTTTATGGATAGGTAGGAATACAGTGTTTTTTCTGTTTTGAAGTTGAGTGCCTTGTTGTTGTCCCTCCTGACTACAGTATTTTGTCTGTACTTTATTTTGATGTTGAATGCCCTATCGTAGACCCCCCCCCCCCATAATACATTGTTTTGCCTGTACATTATTTTGATGTTGAGTGCCCTATCCTGTGTTGTATCCCTTCCAGAATACAGTGTTTTGTCTATACATTATTTTGATGTTGAGTGCCCTGTTGTTGTCCCTCCGGAATACAGTGTTTTAATCTGTACATTATTTTGATGTTGAGTGCATTATCCTGTGTTGTTTCCTTTTCAGAATACAGCGTTTTGTCTATACTTTTTTTTTTTATGTTGAGTGCCCTGTTGGGGACCCTCCAAAATAATGTCTTTTTTTCCGTAGATTAGTTTAATTTTTGGGTGCCCTGTTGTAGCTCCTCCAGAATAGTGTTTTTCTGTGCATTTTTTTGATTTTTTGGGTGCCCTGTTGTAGCCCCTCCAGAATACAGTGTTTTTTTTTCTGTACATTATTTTGATTTTTGGGTGCCTTGTTGTGGTCCCTCCAGAATAGTGTTTTTTTCTGTGCATTATTTTGATTTTTTGGGTGCCCTGTTGTAGCCCCTCCAGAATACAGTGTTTTTTTTCCGTGCATTATTTTGATTTTTGGGTGCCCTGTTGTAGCCCCTCCAGAATACAGTGTTTTTTTTTCTGTGCATTATTTTGATTTTTGGGTGCCTTGTTGTAGCCCCTCCAGAGGTCGCAGTGGGATGAGGAGTGCCTGGGGAGGAGAGATTGGTGGTACAGGGGTTGATCACTACGGAAATCCAGGCACAGCTTTTGACGCTTCTCTAGTCCCATTATCCAGGTCACTCACGTCCCTTACTGATGACAAAAAAGAGGCTCCCATTGAATCTGTCAAGTGAGTAGCTCTGTTGATGTATAACTGATCATCATTATATAGACATCCCTGTCCAATTTCCTGGACTTTTATCTCTTAGAATTTAAACTATATTAAATATTCAAATCAACTTTATTTCATGCATGTACTTATAAAACAAAAAAAAGTCTCCTTTAAAAACAAAACATGCAATTATGCATTTCCTTTCCTCTTAGTATATCTCTTAATCAAAACTATGCTGATGTATTTAAGTAGATGGCTTTAATAAAAATTTCATTGCCAAGCTTTCAGAATGTAATTTACTTCTGAAGAATAACTTTCCACATGTAACAGTATTCACAATATATTTCAAATTCACCATTTAGTCAGTGTCATATGCAGCTACTACATGCTTATTATTTTCCACCTTTATATCAAAAGCTTCTTGATATACTGAATTGTTTCTGTAGGGAGATATACGTCAAAATAGGACCATTGCTAAATATGCAATCTTTAAACAGGAAAAGGTAACTCTTCATGTTTGGCTGGTTGTCTCCCTTTAGATGAATTATAAGGTGTTTGTGACCAGTTTCACAGAATCAGCCACAGAGTGAATATGTCCATTTGCACCCATGGAATTAATTTCTGCTTGTGATTTCATTAGTTCTCCTAAGTCTACTGGCCCATATGAGCTATTCTGATTGAAAAGTGCTGGCATCTGTCTGTCTTGAGGCATATGTTGTCTGTTGTGTGTAATCTTTAATCTTTAGAACCACTACTCCAATATCAGTCAAAATGTCAACTAAGTATTATTTAGAAAAGGAGATACCAATTCTTCAAATGAAGAACTGTGTCCTATTTCAAGGGGAGATAATTAGCAATTAGGAAAAATATTGTCGATTGCTCAAAAGATGATCATTTAAAGAATGTTTTTGGCAAGAAGATAGATGTATATAAAAGCTTCTTAAGCTTATAAAGAGTGAATTTATGCATTCAAATCTTTTCTTAAGACTAGGGAGGGGCTGCAGTAGGGAATCAAAGTTTTACACAGGAATATAAGGGGAATTTTTTAAAATTTTCTCAAAAACTGCATATCAACAGTGTGTCAAATCAATATGAAAGCATTCACATGTAGTATAACTTTTATCTATACATATATACTCTTGGTGGTAGGATGGGGACACAATGGGGTGTGAAATAGGTTTATTGTGAGAGAAATTTGACTGGATGGTCATTGTGGCCTCATATGATACATGGAGATCTTATCAAAATAAACGAATGTCCCTTACACAAGCAGAGATTAGTTTGTTTTCTCTATGTTAGCATGTCATTTCAAAGTGCTTTACTCTCTTTGCTTAATCTGTTATAATGTACGTGTTGAAAAAAAAAGGTGTATATACCTCATATCTTGTTTAAAAATAGAACTGACTTTTTGGTTATAATTCTTATCTTAGATTTCGTCATAGTAATAGACGACGACAAAAACTAGCATATCGAAGTTCAGAAAGTATTATGTAAGGCATACAATGGTTTAATACATTGTTTAACATTATTGTCATGGAAGAGGGAATTTTTAAAGTTTCACAGAGTAGACTGTTTTATTTTATTATTAACACGGTAATGGTATCAAGGTTTATTTTCTGACTAGTATATCGTGTGGAACCTGCTTTTTGACATCCTATGATTTTAAGCTAGGTATAGGGAGTAGAGAAATAGATGTTAGACTTTTTTAAAGTTGAATTTAAAGAATTAATCATTTATCTTGAACTTGGTTTATATCTTGCATTATTTTTAGTTCATATTTAAATCAACATGTAATTTCACATCAAAATCTAGAGCTTTTTGTTGATACACAGATGAAATCAAAATTTGTCATTAGAATGAATGTGTGCATGCATGTTCACATTACATTATATAAATTAAACAAGAAATTGGTTGTGGAATGTTGTTGAAACTAACAAAGCATGGTTTTTTTGTGCCTAAAGTGATATTTTGATCCCCATATGTTGCGGGTTTGTGTGCTTGGGAACCTGACTGAGAGTGGAAACGTTATGATAAGTTGGTTTGTTATCTAACTCTTGATATTACAGGGGATAAATGATGGCAATTTTATATCCTATTTCTTGTGTGTTAATTATACTCTTTCTGATACATATATTTGTGTTATAAATTATTTCTTTGTAACTCTCAACAAATTATCATTTTATTCTGAAGTGTCAAATTATAGTTTTCTGGTAGAATTATTGTTGTATTTTTTAAAATTATAAAATGCTAGTTAAAATTCATAGATAGCTTTTAATGAAGTAGAGCTTTATTTACTTTTAATGACCAAATTACAAACATAATTATAGTTATAATCAGTTGTAGAGTTTTAAATTGAGTAAACTGACTACGTAATTGTACCACTGCCAACTACAAATTAAATAATGTAGATTTTATGTCAATCTGTAAATACATGGAGATCTATATTGCATGCAAAAAGTTAAGTAGATGCTCTTATAATGGGAATGTTTCAAAATATAATATATGCACGAGAATTATAATACTATTCTGGAATAATTTCTACTGATGTCATTTTAAGTTGACACAGCATGTTATAATAAATAAACACAATAGAACTAGTCCAGATTAATTTGTAATGCTGAAACGGAATGCCGCCATTAGATCTAATATGACTAACTTTTTAATGCAGACTGACCAGACATCGCCCCTACGTCCCGTCTTACATAGAATTACAGGTAATTAACTGATGTGTCTTTATATCTATCTTTGACATTATCACTGTATTTCACTGGTGTGGGGGTTAATGCATGTTGTTTCTGGTTCCTTTTTGGTCATCATTTTCTATAAATGATATGATATATAGTTCATTTAAATGACTTCCAAGTTAGATTGATTCCATTGAGTAAAATTTTTTTTTTTTCAAGAAAAAACTACTCACTAGTATTTAATTATTTTTTATAGCAATTTAAGAAAAACTGCACACATAGGTGTGTACAATTTACAAACAATTAAGTTTCAGTGACTAAATAGATGCCCAAATACACAAACACACATATCAAGATTAAAACTGACAAACGTAAAATTATGGAAATATTTTGGGTTCTACTTGTCCAAAGTTTCATCACGTCTTCATTGGTTTAAGACGTCTTCTGCATTTACATCAGTGAGAAATTTTGTTCTGTGTGTAAACTTGCTTAACTTTTCTGTCGTAAAAGCACAAACTCTTCTGCATGAAAGTCAAATCTTCTGGAAAGAAAATTTTGGAAAACATCGGCTTTGGGTTGGCTGGTCTGTAGAACAAATACTTGGAACACATCAAGATCTATTGATATTCAGCATAAATTAGGAGCCAAAGTACCGTAGATTTAATGTTGCTGACATATTTATACTTCCAAACTTTCATCCAGCAGTTTTTCTGCTCAAAAATTGTGTTATATTCAGTAAGTTACTCCTTTCTAGGTGGAAATAAAGGCTAAAGAAGAAAAATTATAGCTGGTATAAAGCATTTTTGGTGACTGGATAACAATAGCTGACACATGCAGTGTATGAGGAATTTTTACATGTCTTTAAAATCAGTTCCTTTTTTCATTCTTTCCTAAATTAAATGTCATTGCATACAGACTTTGTATACCTACCCGTACTTTCTAAACATCTACAATTTTAGTTAGAATAGAGTTACCTGAATATACTCTGTGTTTGACTTGATTAAAACAATGAAATAATTACCCATTCATCACAGGATCAAGAGATTCACCCACAGATTTTTAATTCACAATTTTTTTGAAATTTTAGGAGAAATCAAATGTCCAGAGCTTTATATATGATTGTTTATAGTATCACACTATCACCTCATGTGACAGGCACAAGAGTTTTGCAGAAGCTGATTTTCACAGAATTATAAGCACGGTGTAGTCGTCACATTGTCTCTAATTATCTTCCAAGTTTGCAGACTTGAATTTGTAAAGACCAAAAAAAATCAATGGTGACTGACTCATTCAGGAAAAAACTGCTCCATATTGGCTGGGAACTGACAAGTTTATGCATCTATATCCATGTATGATCCATCCTTTTGGATGTAATTGGCTCAGTATCTCAATATATTCCCATGAAGGCAAGAATTTATCTTGAAACGGATGAGGATTTCATGGTATAATCAGAATGTTAAAGAAAAATCTTTATATTGATCGGCTATCTATAATCTTACAACAAATATTACTCATTAAACAATGCAAGCCATATACAATGTTCAGCTCCCTAATAATTGCTTCATACAAAAGGAGGAAGATTTTAATATTTTGTGGATTTTTCTGTTCCATTGAAGGGTTCACTTAATTTATTGTTATTTCATTGATCGCTCATTTTAAAATGATGGAACGTTCATAACTCAAAGCATTAATTTTGTGATTTCGGATTTTCCAAGAAATGCATCTTGGAGACTGTTTATTGTAATTACACTTAAGTACTTAGAGTGTAAATGTAGCATTGACATTTGATGAAGAAATATGCAGGATTACAATATAAAATTTACACATTTTTGGAGAAGTTTGCTGACTTCATTCATAAAATATTGATGAAGATGTACATGTTCATATCCATAGACTGAAAATGCCATTGAAAACAATACATATGTAGCTTAAGGGATGTAACCAGTAAATTTTTGTCAAATGATTTATGTTAAGAATTAACAAAAATAGCATTGATTTTGGTCTAAAAATTGTAAATGATTTCAAAAATATAATAACGGTAAGTTAAATTCAACAAGAACAGAAAACAAGACTCATTTGGACAAAATATGTGTTAGTATCGTGACTGTGATGTCAAAAATTTGACAGCTAGGTGTCTTTAAATGATCAAAACTAAAAAAAAATTTTACATTTAGTTTTCTGTTGAAGAAAGCGGAGAGTGCATATATCAGACATAAAGACTTTCATATGTAGCATGCAAAAGCACTTATTTTCTGACGTCAAATTACCCATTGTAAAGTATTTTTTTAGCTCACCTCGACAAAGTTGAGATGCATGAGTTTATGCTATACCCATAGTGTCGGGATCAGCATCCCAGTTAAAGTTTTTATGAGCAAGTCCATTCTCCATAACTATAAGCCCTACCTGGACCAAACTTGCATAGATAATGCATTTAGGAGTGCACACTGTATTTACCAGATGTGCTTTGGATGGTGGATATGACCTTCATTTTCTGGATGAATAACCAGGTTTCAGTTTATGGAGCAGGTTCATTTCATGCCCTCCTTTGTCTTGCATGGATGATTCATCTAGGGATGCACACTACCAGACTTGCTTCAGATGCTGGATCTGAGCTACATTTTTCAGATGACTAAATAGGTTAAAGATTTTGGAGCAGGACCATTCCCAAGTAACTATAAGCCAACTTGGACCAAACTTGCAAAGACAAAGCATCTAGGAACGCATAATAACTAGACTGGTTTCAGATGCTGGATCTGACCTACATTTTCCAGATAAATGAACAGGTAACAATTTTTGAGCTGTTCCATTCCCAGGTAACTATAAGACCTACTGTGACCGTACTTGCATTGATTATGCACAGTACTAGATATGCTTTGGAAGCAGGATCTGACCTACATTTGCAGGATTATTGTACAGTTGAAGCTGTTGAAGCAGGTTCAAGTATCTGTAGATCCTACTTGTACCAAACTTGTGTAGGTATGGTATCTAGGGATGTACATTACCAGAACGTTTGTTTGAAGTGAGACTCGGACTTACTCAAAGGTAACATTTATCGAGGTGAGCTTGTATCTCTCATTACCTATTTTTTTTTAAAGCTGGACACATTTTTTTTTCTGTGTGTAAATAAGAATTTTCTGTTTCCTAAGGGGTCAGATGATAACCAGCTGGATTCCGATGGTACTGTGTGTTAAAGAGTGATCTCTAGCACTGTACATCAAGTCTTATTTCATACAAAAAAGCAAAAAAGTGTCTCGATACAAAAAAATGTATATGTAAAATATCTGGTATTAATTAAATATATATACCGGTAATAGTCCACAGTAAAAGTCAGTGGCACATTGAACAATGAAGTAAACCTTGATGTACAGTGATTTCACAGAGGTTATATGGATTGAATGTATACTGGTTTGATTTTTCTACCTGAATGCAAGGATTACATGTCACAGAACTTTGTATTAACCAGACATTATTTCTGATTCTACACATTTTGTTATGCTGTTTATCCCACTTGTTCACAAGTATGAGTGATTGGATGGTGGATCCCAGAATTTCTATGTAACTGTTCATTGTTAATTTTGATCACACTGCATGAGCACAATTTTTACACATTGTCACTCGATTGAATTTTTCATGTTTTTTTTCTCAATTTTTATTAATTCAAAAATGTTTAATTTATTAAGTACATCAGGGATGTATATTCTACAATCCTGAATACATATATTGGCTATATTTTTAAGTATCTGTATTTTCTTTTTCAGAAGAGTTGATACCAGCGTAGTCCCCCATGTTTCCATTCCTTTGGAATTCCGAGAATTAGATCCTCGTAGAAATCTCTCAGCTCCTGGAAGGAGGTTAATTCAGGGCTCTGTAACATGAGAGTCATGTGACCTTAGAAGCTAAATAAACCGCTTAGATATATTGAGATATATTGTTTCTGTAATTCAAAGCATTGCAAACTTTCATGTTTTGACAGATTTTCTTGTCAAGTTTGTTTACTAATGTGATGCAATTGTTGGATGATAAATTGTGTAAAATATTAAAAAGATGTGATTATTTATTGATTTTTGTGATATGTGTACACTTTTTTTTAATAGGTATGGCATAATTCTGTGATAAAGATTCAGTTATATAGTCTTGAATTGCATTTATTGTTTTATTTGATGTGGGTAATTTATTGATTATGCCTGGTGTTTACATCTGGTTGTGATATTACTGTAGACGTTTAAGCACATTATCTAGTTTGGGTTTATATAGGAACTAGAAGGGCTATCATTTTTTTTTCTGGAGATGTAATCCTCAGATCAGATATTTTACACGTCACTGCTTCCAGTTTTTGTTTTGCTCAGACTAGGATTTTTTTTTTTTGACTTTGTTGCTGGTGTTAGTCAAAGAGAAATATTATCTCAGTTCTTCTTCATTACTGTGTAATGTTACATCAATCACTGAAAAAAAAAGTTATTGACTGTCATTTCCTGTGTGCTGAGACCTGAAAAAGAGTCACATTTTGAATGGATGAATGCTTGACATGTACATTCAATTTGAAGAAAATGAGTGGGTTTTTTTTCTTAACTGATATTACTTGGTGCTTTGTGTTTGTGACTACAATATGTTGTTTATTTTCATGCCAAGCATTTTCATTTGACCTTATTTTTCACAAATGTACAGAATGTAGAGGTCAAAAACATCAGTGTTTCCTCATTGACTATTTTTAAACTCTGTTCACCATTGTGATGTCATTGATCATTGTGCAATTTGTAAATTCTCTGTCAAAGCAAAAGTATATTGTCTGCTAAAGCAAAATCTAGACATTAAGCCATTGTCCTTCTATGCACATTGTTGTAAAATTTCATTGTAATGTCTGTTTCAAACTTTGGGTGTGTACATTTTCCCCATTTCAATGTCAAAGCAAAAGTATATTGTCTGCTAAAGCAAAATCTAGACATTAAGCCATTGTCCTTCTATGCACATTGTTCTGTTGTAAAATTTCATTGTAATGTTTGTTTCAAACTTTGGGTATGTACATTTTCCCCATTTCAATGTCAAACCTTAATTGTTATGCCCTCAGTATCCCCCACCCCAATGTCCCACTGTTTTATCGGGTGTGCCTTATGTTTACACAGAACATTCAGAGCATTATTTTTACTACAGCAAGCCTATTTTTTCTACCAGTATTTTTTCACCCCACCCACCCCTAGTGCCTTAGTCCCTCAAATAAAGTAACTAAAAAAACTTGATTTGATGCCCCTGAGAGTTTGTATTGTGACTAAAAAAAAATAAATCAGTATGGATACTGCATTTTCACTTATTAAGGTTCACTGACCCTTTTATAAGAGAGATAACTCACAGGTATTAATGATTACTATTCCTTTAAAAAAGAAAAGGCAAGTTAAAAAGTGAAATTTTGCACCACAAGATATGCTTAAGTTTTAAAATCAAAACTTTGTGTGAGCGTATCAATAGAGGGGTTAAGAACCTATAAATTATCAGTAATGTTCCATTATTTCAGTGTTACATGTAGCAGAAATGTCATAGAAATTATTTTTCCATTCTTTGAATTTTTTCCATGTGTATACAATGGGTTTAGAAAGACCCTACTTCAGGATAGGTAAATTTATTTACATTAAAATTAAGTGGAATGAAAATAACTTTGTTTTCTATTTCTGTGCAAGCACTGGAGTCATTGAATTTACTCAGAAAGGAAGAGTGTCATCTTTTGTGAGGTGTATATCTTCTTGGTAAATGTCAAATTATGTGCAACATAGAAATTGTAAAATAGAGGTCTGTTATAATTCAAGGTTTTCATCCGAAATTGGGATGTTATGATGACATGGAACTTTTGCATGTTTCAAAATTTCTATGGGACCTCATTCAATTTAAGGAAGCTCTAAATGCTGCTCACTGAAGAGTACTAATATGTAGTTAGAGTACTCTGCCCTTTGATGTAAAATGAAATAATAGTTACAGTAAATGACACATTTTGAAATAGATGAAAGTATTCTTAAGATTATTTGTAAGGCCAAGATAAAGATTGAAGACAATTATTTTCATGTATTTCACCATATTTACGTTATGAACTTCGAGTTTGACATACTTTTGAAAAAAAAATAACCTTGCTCATAACTTCTGAACGGTTGGTGCAAGGACTTTCATATTTCTCATTTATATTCCTTGAATCAAGACCTTTTTAAGGTACCAATTGAAAATTTGTTAAGCTCACCTCAACGAAGTTGGGGGAGCTTATGTTAAGCCATCGGCATCCCTGATTAAATTTTTTGGAGCAGATTTCTTTTTAAATACTTCTGTGCCCTAAATTGATCAGAGATGCATGGGTGATACTTCTGGTATGTTTCATTGTACATGTACCAGTCAAGGTTTCAGATGCAGTAATTTCAGCTAAAGAATGACCAGGTTAATGTTTTGGGAGCAGGTTAAAGTTTTTGGAGCAGGTCTCATTTCCAAGTTACTATAAGCCCATTTTGTGGACCACACTTGCGTGGATGATGCATCTAGGGATGGACACTACCACACTTGCTTTGGATGTTGGATCTGATTTACATTTTCCAGAAGAGTGACCAGGTTAAAGTTGTTGAAGCAGGTCTTATTTCCAAGTAACTATAAGCCCTATATTGACCAAACTTGGATGTATGATACATCTACAGTTTCTACACAATACCAGGCTTGCTTTGGATGCTGGATCTGACCTACATTTTCCGAATGAGTGACCAGGTTAAAGTTTTTGAAGCAGGTCTTACTTCCAAGTAACTATAAGGCCTATCTAAACCAAACTTACCTGGATGATGCATCAAGAAATGAACACTCTAAAATTTGCTTCAGATAATGCATTTGACTTACATTTTGGATGGGTGACTAGTTTAAAGTTTTTAGATAAGTCCATTCCCAAGTAACTGCAAGCCCTATCACACCAAAATTGCATAAATGTTGCATCTAGGGATGTACACTACTAGACTATTAGTTTAGTGTGAGACTTTGCCTTACTTAGAGATAACATTCGTTTAGGTGGGCTCTGTAATCTCTGATTACCTTTTTTTTTTAACCTCTGGACCTTGACCTCGGAGTTTGACCTTCATTTGAAAAACTTCAACCTTGCCCTTAACTTTTGAACGATTGGTACTAAAGCTTTTATGCTTCAAATATGTATTCCTTGTGACAAGACCTTTCCTTTGGTACTAATATTTTTTACCTCGTTATCTTGTCCTTGGAGTTTGACCCACTTAAAAAAAAACTTTAACATTGGCCATGAGTTGCAATACGAGGGCATCAGTGTTACGCAAACAAATCTTATTTTTTATTACTAAATCTATTTCCACATCACTTCATCAGAACAAAAAAAAAAGGTATAAGCTAATTTCTATTTTATAAGTTGTTTTCGAAATATTAAAAAAATATTGATTGGGAATAATAAAGATAATTACTTTTGAATAGGGTTAATCAATGTTATTAAATGTTATATAAGATTATTCTACCGACAAAGGGTTGTCGGTCTGTTTTGCGACTCCGAAAATTATTCAAGCTTTTCCGAAGAAAAAAAAAATCTTCTTTTTCAAATAATTGTCCGAAATATTTTCTGTAATTTTGAGTTGCTGAAAATTTCACACATATATATAACTGTACTTAGAACTCCAGCGTAGAAAAAAATAATAATACAATCTCCTTCGATTGCATGCAAGTTAAAATCTGGTCTTATTAATTGTTTGTAAAGGGGGAGGAGATGGCACATGATTTATATATCCTTTTAGCCCCGAGTTTGAGTATTGCCGTGTTCTGCACCATAACCTTTTATTCATGGTGTTGTGATTATTATATCTTTTCATTGAAGATTTTGTTTATGAAGTCTAATGATCGAAGAACAAAGCAACCTGGATATTCATATTTATATATTTTTGTTGAAGAATTTTGGGAAAAACCCTTACTTGTATCATCATCTCAAGCCACATTGGCTATATATATATATATATATATATATATATATATATATATATATATATATATATATATATATATATATATATATATATATATATATATATATATATCATGATTTCTTTATCAATTTTGATTTTCCGAATAGTTGTACTTTACCCAAAGTGTCATGATAATTCAATAAGTTTGTTTTAATGTTTTCACGTATACATGAGGGGGTGGGATTTATAAAATAAATTCCTATATTTAAAAAACAAACAAACAGAAACGAAAAAAAAAAAACAAAGAAAAAAAATACTACATGTATATAAAACTAGACGTAGCTACTGAGTATATTTCTTGACTGATTTAAAAATCTCAATATTTTCTTTTAGTGGGAGGTTTAGTTATTTTAGTGTTAGTGAATGAGGAAGTACTGTATTTCTTGGGCTTTCAAAATAAGGACAATGAAGAAGAAAATTACTGAGGTTTCAACCCCTCACGACAATTTATAACATTAGGGCTATTTACAATATTTCTGAAAACTTTCTAGAAATAATGCATGCAGCTTGAACTCATTATCGATCAGTGGCGAATGATCTTTCTCTATGACTTCATGTGAATTCATTTGTTATAATTATTATTATCAGGCCAGCTTTAAAATAATGTTTGTTTGCCCTCTCCCGAATCAGGATGAAAAAATTGGGTCGGTAGGAATTAAGGTGATATTTTTTTTTTTTTTTTTTTTAAAGAAAATTTCCATTTTTATGGAATTCCATATACGACAGCCAACTGCTTACTGCCAACTGCTCACTGCTTACTGCCAACTGCCACACATATTTGAATAAATTTTCACATTTATATTGATATTTATGTGAATTTTCATAAAACCAGGCGCGGATCTAGGATTTTTTTTACAGGAGGGGCTCACCCCAGTAAAAAAAAATCCAACCCAGAAATTTCTTGACCAAAAAAAAACAACAAAACAACAAAAACAAAAACGTAAACTCCTTTCCTATACGTGAAAAACCTATTTCGGCGGGGGGGGGGGGGGGGGGAGTGTTAACATCTTATGCTTCATATTATCTATGACTTTTCATATCAACTTAACACGGATCCGCGTTTTCTAGGGGGGGTGGGGGGGGGGCGGGGGTCCAAGGTCACTTTTAGTTGGTTTAGTATAGGTCTATACATTAAATAACTCTACAAATTCCAGGGGGTGGTCCGGACCCCCCCTCCCAACGACCCCCCCCCCCTCCCTCTAGATCCATGTATGTAAAACATAACTTATTTGGGAAAATAAAGAGATATAGATCTTTAATTTGAGAAAATATTTCACTATAGAAATTAACGGAAAATGGAACTTTATTTTCAAAACATCTTCCCCCGCGAAACAACAGATCCTTTTTTCAGTTTTTATTCATTCCAAAGGTTTTGTTGTCTCACGGGGGGGGGGGGGACGGGGCACGTGTTTAAAGATTAAAAACATGAAAATAGTCATTTTATTACCAATTTTAAATGAGATCACAAATTTAAAAAATGTACTTTATCACTTTATCAATCTCATATGTTAAATTTTACATAAGTTAAAACATACGGTGAGATTTAAGAGTCATTTATCCATTTCATTTTCATGAGTATTTGAAAATGGTGATGTTTGCAGCCTGTCTTCAAAAGATGACATTTTGTACCCCCTTATGAAAGGAGTTGTAAATAAGAGCAATTAACTTTTTGTCACTGGTTTTTAAAATTAGTACTTAATACTAATGAACTTTTCTTTGCATTGAAACAAGTTTTTATGTCCAAATTGCCATTTATATTGAATTAAATGGATGGAAAATGTAGGCGGAATCGAGAGTTAA